ACAAACGCTGGCTGTAACAGCGTATTACACTTGAAAATTTCGACGGGTTCATCCAGTGTCTAAGTAGCTCAGTTGGAAGAGCAGTCGCCCGGCAAGCGGAAGGTCGTGGGTTCAATTCCCGCCTTAGGCAGTTCGATTTTTTCAAGTTATTTATAATTTTCAAATTGATTTACATACTCTGTTCCATTGTCAGTATGTAATATTCGGACATTGTGCATGAATTTATTGTTGATCATAGTATTGTACTTCTTGAAGGCTTCCATTACATCACTTTTGTGTTTAATAAAATATACATGCCTGTAACTTGTTGCAGCGTCTTTGAAAAGTAAGAAATATCTCATACCTTGAATAGATGGGATGCTCATAGGTCCACAGACGTCGCTATAAACTAAGTCACCTGGCTGTAGTTCTCCTCGCTCAGATTTGTGAAATGGGCACTTGCATTGCTTCCCATATGCACAAGCTTCACACACAAAATTGCCTTGTCCATTGTCAATCATTTCCAGTCCCTGCACAACACTATTTGCACTCATGTTTTTAATTTGTTTTAGATTAATATGTCCTAACCTTTCATGCCACATTTTCATATCACTTTGATTATTTTGAACTAAGTTACATGTATCAGGAACCACTGTTTTAATGTTCAACTCATATAAATTGTTTTCTCTAATAATTGCACTCATCACTACTTTGTTGTTTTTATAAATCAGGGCACTCGTGTCTTTCTTTACAATAGAATAGGATTTTCGTATTATCACACCTTCAGAGAATAAGTTTCTTCTCAAACTTGGAACATACAACACGTCATTCAGTTCACTGATCTCCCACTGTCCATTGACATATCTTTGTATCATCACTTTTCCAATACCAGATACTTCCACGGATTGTTTATTTCCAAGTGTCAATGATTTCTGCTTACATTCAGTTAGTTCCAGAAAGAAATCCTTTCTATATGTCATGTGGGCAGAGGCACCACTATCTAAAATCCAGGTATTCTCTTCAGCATTGCATGAATTACTCTCCACATAAAATGCTAACATATCTGCACCTTCTTGCTGAGGTTTTCTATTCTTGGATTTTTTAGGAGCACGACATTCTCTAGCAAAATGCCCCCGCTTGCCACAATTATAGCATTCAAATCTATGTTTATTTGCTGTATTATTCTGAGTTGTATTGCTCTCACTCGCAACTGGTTTATTTTGTTTGGGCTTTGCTTTCCACCCCTTATTGGCAACAAGGAGGGCTGTTTCTTGTTCCTCTTCACCTGCTAAGCTCGCCTCTTCGTCCAATAAACGTGCAGTTAGATTAACANCGTTGATGTGAACACATCGCTACAAATTCATACACGCTGTCTGGTCGCCATCGCCATCGTCATCGTGCACGCCGGCTGCACGCGTTGGTCTGGTCTAACCTTAAAGTCTGGTCGCCGAGCGCGAGCGATAAGGATGGGTAGCTTAGGGTCATTGGACAAAATTATACGTGCTCACAGACAGGGTTTTTAAGTAGATTCATTGTTGGAACATAATGAAGAGGTTTGAAACAAAAAATCGTTAAAACAATTTTATTTGGTACGTTTAATTATTGCTAGAGTACCTATAATTTAATTTCAAAGATACAAATTAAGGATCTCTGTCTTGCAATTATTAGAGTACTTCCTGAAGAACAGCAGCTAATCCGCTTAGAAGACCAGATGGTATCCCGGGTGTGCTGGGACTGCTGAGTACCCCGGGTTCGGCGGGACCGGGGAGAGGCCCGTATGGGCTGTCAGTGCCGCGAGTCCCGGGTGGGCCGGGACTGCCGGGACTGCCAGGTGTGTCGGCGGTCTCGGATGTGGCGGGGGTCCCGGGTGTGCCGGGAGTTCCGGGAGTTTGGGGTATGGGAACAGGCGCAACGAAGCAGAAGCTCATCTGTGAAAAAAAGAATAAAAACTCATTTATCTTTGCTTTCATAAAACAAATTTACGTCCCAGGCCGGTGGCCGGCCAATTTTAATGGCCTATCGCCGCCTTGCATGTAACTTGAACGGATCAGCATAAGATCTGTCGTCGTCCACAAGACTCCACCCCTAAGGGAAAACGGGGGTTGGAAGTTTTTATGAAAGTCCTATGTTTTTGAATCTAAATCTAATATACATATAAAAGGAGAAACTGACTGACTGACTGACATCTCAACGCACAGCCTAAACGGCTAAACGTAGGCACTTGAAATTTGGAAGGGACGCAGCTTAGGTACCGTAGAGGTGCACTAAGAAAGGAATTCCCCAAATTCCCACGGGAATGGGAATTACCGGGAATATCCTTTTGTATGAAACATCTAAACCGCTAAAGTTAGACGCTTGAAAGGCATGCAGGTACCTTAGTAAACTTAAAGCTTAGTTACAACAGGATATTGCAAAATTCCCACGGGAACGGGAGTTAGCGGGAAAAAACATTTATATGAAAAAATCTAAACCGCGTAAGATAGATGAAGGGGGTAAAACGGGATCCACGCGTACGAAGTCGCAGGCGGCCGCTAGTTATAGGTACATAGGAATTATGTGCAAACAACAACATAGATTTACTTACCAAACCGACGAGGAATACAATTATTAATGTATTATTCATTTTTACTTTTCTATAATTAGGAAAAGAAAACGCTAATTGACTGATATTACGAACCTCCCTATAAATACTAGTAACAACAATACTAGCAAGTCTTTCATATTTTATTTATTTAATAAATAATAAGCTTGTATTGTATCAAAGCAAAATAATGTTTTAATAAAATTAACAATTTGTAAAGCCGGTGTTACACTAAAGCCCAGTTTTTTGATTCGTAGTTAAAATAACTAATTGGTTAATTTTGCCACTAATGGTTAGGCTGGGTTGCACCATAGAGAAAAGTAATACATAGGAAATAGAGAACCCTCTCTGTCAAATTTTTAACCTACTAATTGACAGCCTGGTGTTAAATTCCCTGTACTTAACNGCTGGCTTAGCGCTGGCTTGGCGCTGGCTTGGCGAGGCAGGCATAGGCTGGCATACGGTGTTGCGTTACAATAGGGATGATGACTGGGTAATGAAATCGAAATTCTATTTAGTCCGTAAGACAGATAATTAGAAAATATTAGACTCACATTTTTTTCCATAATCGAATAATTACACTATTATAAAATATTGAGTTGAAATGTCGCGTGACGTCACTTTTGAGTAAAAATTCTACTCAAGCGTGACGTATCGCGCCATTTCAACTCGATGTAGCACTGTTATTATGTATTTAATTATGAAAGAAAATAAAAAATATTATGAGTCTAATATTTTCTAATTATCTGTCTGACGGACTAATAATTGAAATTTTGTCATCTAGCCTATTATTTTTTTCGTTTTAGTACAACTGCATTTCAGAATAAAAAGTTGTTTTTAAAAAAGTTTTTTAATTATTATTAAATAATTTTATTTTACACTTTTTAGTAGTATCTCAATCTCAGAGCCTTGCTTCAATTACAATAAGTGCTCGAAAAGACAAATCCAGCAAACCCAAACTCGATAAGTTTCCACCGTTTCGTTTAGGAATACCTATGGCCACGTCCTGACTCCATCATCAGGACCCTGGACATCATCTAGTACTAAAGTGCTCGAAAAGACAAATCCAACGAACCCAAATTCGATGCGATGTCGCCGTTTCATTTAGGAGTTCCTATGGCCACCTCATGACTACATCATCAGACCAGCTCAATGGTACCATAACATTGCATTGTCATCGTACTTACATAAGTATACCACATTTCAGCTCAATCGGTTGGAGGAAAACTGGTCTTAAATTCAGTTGCAAGAGTTGTCCCACACATACCTATTACCTACTAACAAGTGTCGTTAGTTATCTGGTTACAGAAACTGTTGTTTTGGGTTCTGGAAGTTCTGAAAGCCCGAACGTACTTGTCAGAACGCGTTTTTCTAGCGTTTTTCAGCGTGCTTTTGGTAAATAGTAGGTACTGGATTAACGATTAACGGACTTGGGATAATTTAACGGAAGTTAACGAGTCCGTTAACATTTTTTAAAGTTAACTTAAAAGTTAATCCGTTAATAGGAATGTTAACTTCGTTAATTAACGATTAACGGATTAACGAGTTAATGCCCAGCTATGCAGAGGTCCACCTTTGCCAGAAATGTTGTCGCGCCTGCTCTAGGCGCTGGAACCGGTCGAGACGATGCAGCTTGGAGTCCACGAAGCTCGGTGACGGCAGCGCGGTGAGTTGTCTACCAATCAAAAAGTGAGCCGGGGTGAGTGGTTGGAAATCAGTGGGTGATGGACTGAGGGGACATAGGGGTCGGCTATTTAGGATAGCTTCGACTTGTGCGAACAAAGAAGACAACTCCTCAAAGGTTAGGTGAGTATTTCCTAAAATTCTGTGAATGTGGTGTTTGGCTGATTTAACTCCGGCCTCAGCTAGACCGTTAAAGTGAGGAGCGTATGCAGGCGAGAATTTAAAATCTATTCCTTGACGAGTTGCAAACTCGTGTATAGAATCCTGATTTGAATTCATAAAATTACTAATTTCTTTGGCTGCAGCAACAAAGTTTGTGCCATTATCACAATAAATAGTAGTAGGTATGCCTCTACGTGCAATAAATCTTTTGAGAGTGAGAACAAATGCATCTTTACTTAATTCGCTGACAGCCTCTAAGTGAATGCAGTGATATCTAAAACATATGAATATACATAAATAACATTTGGTTATTTTACAGCCACGACCTTTACGGTCAGTAATTAGAAAAGGTCCAGCAAAATCAGTAGCTACAGTAATAAAGGGAAAATCAGGCTCTACGCGGTCCTTAGGCAAGTTTCCCATAATATTGCTCATAGTTTTGCCCTTAACACGTCGACAGACAAAACAGGATCGAGCTACGTTTCTGGCTAGGTTTCTACCGCCAATAGGCCAATAGCGATCTCTGACTGAAGCGAGCATCTGCTGGGGTCCTGCGTGTAGGAGACGCTCGTGTTCTTCATGAAAAATAAGCTTGGTTAAGGGATGATTGGCCTTTAAAATGATTTGATGTTTTTTGTCGTATTGGTAAGTAGAGGTTTCTATGCGGCCTTGAACTCGTAAGATGCCTTGATCATCTAAGAAAGGAGTTAATGAAGCTAACATACACTTCGCTGGTAGAGTTTTACCTTGGCGCAACTGAGAGATTTCATTTGGAAATGATTCGTTTTGGGATGCAATGATAAGAGTTTGTAGAGATTTGTTAAGTTCGCTTACTTGAAGTTCGCCTACGAGTTTGCTGTTGGGGTTTCTACAATTGTTAACAAATCGGAGGACTCTAGCATAGACTCTTTGAAGCATGGAGAGTTTGGAAAATCTTTGAAAATCCACTGCTGGTGTCGAAGACGCTACCTCCGCCACCAAGGCAGGCATGGCTTTAAGTTCAGGCAACTCGACAGCAAGAATAGGGAACGGCGGCCATGAAGATTCGTCTTGTTGTAAGAAGGTTGGCCCGTGCCACCACATAGAGCAATTTCTAATGTGTTGCGGCTCTACTCCTCGCGAGAGTAAGTCGGCTGGGTTCTCTGATGTAGGGACGTGACGCCAAGACGAATAATCAGTTAGCTCACCTATAACCGCCACTCGATTAGCAACAAATGTTTTGGTTTTATTAGGTGCTTTCAGCCATCCCAAAACGACGCTAGAATCTGTCCAATAGACATGACGATTAATTGTGCAACGAAGAGCTTGAGAGACAGATGAAGACAGCTGTGCACCAACGACAGCAGCGGATAGCTCCAACCTGGGAATTGTAGAGGCTTTTAGAGGAGCTACGCGTGCCTTTGCACACAGTAAATTGACTCTGACATTGCCATCGACGTCGATGGACTTTAGATATATGCATGCGCCATAGGCTTCTTTAGAAGCGTCGCAAAAACAATGCATTTCTACATAGTTATGGTTTTCTATTAAGACGTGTCTTGGCAGTTCTATTGTAGATAAATGTGAAATATTTTGGGAGAACTTGAGCCAAGTTTTTTGAAATTCTAGTGGAACTGGTTCATCCCAGTCCATTTTGAGAGACCACAGTTTTTGAAGAAGCATTTTAGGCTTGATAGTGCACAGGGATAATAATCCAAGGGGATCAAAAATTTTAAAGGTTGTTGAAAGAATGGATCTTTTAGTAAGAACATTAATTGGTTCGCAATCTATTCGAAAAAATAATAAGTCAGATGAAGGAGACCAGCCTATGCCTAGAGTGCTGGTAGAATTGCTGATAATTAAATTACCTTCTTCGACATTTATAGCATCTGGAGAGAAAAGATCTGGTAAATTAGACCTATATTTCCTTAAAGGAAAACAACCCTTAGCTAGCTCAGCTGACACTTGGCGTTGAATGTAGCGAAGTTCTGATGTAGAGTCACATCCGGTTAGCAAATCGTCGCAGTAAAAATCCTTTTGTATAATAGTTTTTAATTTAGGATCGCTACATTCCTCACCAAGTTGCCAGAGACACCTAGTGGTGAGAAAACTAGCGCTGGAGAAACCATACGTCACTGTGTTCAGTTGTAGAGTGCGTAGCTCCTGGTTCTCTTCGTCGCGCCACAGAATCAGCTGTAGATTGCGATCTGATTCTTTAAGAGCAACCTGCCGGTACATTTTCTCAATGTCACCAGAAATGATGTACTTGTGTTGGCGAAATCGAATGAGTATATTGAATATTGAGTCTTGAATAGTTGGTCCTACCAATTGTATGTCATTTACTGATACCCCTGAAGTAGTGCGAGCAGACGCATCGAAAACAACACGCAACTTGGTTGACTCGCTATTCTCTCGAATGACCGGGTGATGAGGTAGGAAATAGGCACCTATAGGCCTAGACAGTTCAATATCTGTTAAATGACCAAGCGCAGAATATTCATGGATAAAATCAGAATAGGCTGTTTTTAATTCTGGCTGCTTTCTAAAGCGTGCTTCAAGATTTAGAAATCTTTTCTTAGCTAGTTGGTATGAGTCACCTAGGCAATCTCTATTACGATGAAGAGGGAGACTCACACAAAAACGACCATTGGTTAGACGAGTAGTAGTGGAGAGAAAGTGCTGTTCGCATAGGCTTTCTTCCTTTGAATAGGGTTGGCGGTCGGGAAAGCTCTCTAGCTCCCAAAACTTAGTGATAAGGTGCTCTAGATTATTATTTGTAGAGCAATCATTATCGGAATTATCGTTTTTCAATAGAAAATTGCATGTCATAGTTTTATTGGAAGTTAGTTGTTTAGGCATTGTAGGTAGGGGACCAGCTACGAGCCACCCTAGTTTAGAGCTGCGAAGAATGGTATTGCAGTCTTCAAGGCGACGTTGCTCGGAACCTATCAAATCCCAGAACAAATCAGCACCAATCAGCATGTCTATAGGCGATGGCACGTTGAAACTAGGGTCAGCCAGATCACAATTAGGTAGATTTAGAGGTCTAGAATCGAATGCAACCTTAGGTATATCGTCTGAAATTTGGGGTAAGACTAGACAATACATTGTTACATTGAATGGACTAGTGTTGGATTGTAAATTAATAGCACATCTCTCAACATTAATGTTTAAAGAAGTGTTGCCTATGCCGACTATGTTTACACTTGGGGACAGCAAAGGGGTTAAATTTAACCTTTGTTTCACCATATCAGTTATGAAAGACGACTGGCTTCCGCTGTCAAGCAAAGCTTTTACAGTTATAGTGTTTTTAGTAACGGGATTAGAAACTTGAATTTTAGCGGTGCACAGTAAAACATTTGTGGTGGTTTGAGTAGAAGACATGACAACTGTTTGAGAGGAATTAGAGGCATCAGAATTTTGAGTAAAATGCAACAATGAATTGTGTCGTTTTTTACACGAACGACAAGATCCAACAAGTTTACACTCTTCCACCTTGTGGCCTGGTTTTAAACAGTTTTTGCATAGCTTTAGAGACTCGACTATTGAATTTCTATCCTTAGGAGATTTTGATTTAAACGAAGAACACTCATAAAGACGATGTTCACCTCTGCACATCAAACACTCTAAAGACTTAGAAGAGGATTGACTATTGTCGCCACTAGTGGTGACAGCAAAAGATTTAGTTTGCTGAACTTTATTAGAGAGTGTGGGGTTGCTCCCTGGTTTGGTCTTGTTTTGTCTGTCTAATTTGGATTCATAAACAGTCTCCAAAACATCAGCTCGGTTTTTAAGAAATGTAAAAAAGTCTGAAAGCGTTGGTATTTCGGAAATATTATTTCTAAACTCCTCCCATTTAAAACATGTAGTGTTGTCTAATTTTGCTGTGACCAAATAAATAATTAGGACATCCCACTTGTCTGTAGGCAATCCTAACGTGCTGAGAGCCCGCAAGTTTTTTGTGACATGGTCAATTATAAAACGAAGTGACTTGGCGGTCTCTCGCACGGTTTCAAAGTTAAGAAGAGATCTCAAATGATTGCTTATTAATTGCCTTTTATTGTCGAACCTTTCACATAATAAGTTCCAGGCTTGACAATAATTTTTGTCTGTAACTTCCAAGTTGCAAATAACGCGAGCAGCTTCACCCTCCAAATATGAATTTAAATAATGAAATTTATAAATATTTTTGATTTGTGTATTTTCATGAATTAATGAGCTGAAAGTTTCCTTAAACTCCAACCATTTAAAATAGGTACCATCGAAATTGGGAATTTTAATGATTGGCAATTTGAAACCAAGTGTTTCATTATTACATTGGCCACCATCATGACAGTTAGAATGTTGTTTATGATTTGAATCATTCGATGGACATGATGCAAACATAGGTATTTTAGAAGGTGAATTCGCCTTTATCAAATCCTGAGCAATACAAACATAATGATCGAAGTCTTGTTCAAAAACATCGCGAATAGTTAACTCCTGTTCTCGATTACCTTCACTAAAAGATTCTATTTGATTTTGCAACTCGTCAAATTCAACAAACAAGGCTTCAATCCTGGATAATTTCATCGCAAGTTTGTTGGTTTCAAATTCAGAAACATTTTCTAAAGATTGCAAAGATTCTACATGATTTTTAAATTTAGTTAACCGTCCTTTAATATTGCTACGCTTTACTAGAAGAGATTTCAAATCTATAGGAGTTTGTGTTTCGATAGACATTGCGATAAAATTAATCAGAAAGCTAAATGACGTTAGAAACTATTATTCAAGTTAACAAAATTGCATACGATACGCTCCTCGCTTCGCAGTCCAGGTGATTGCACGACGAGTTGAAAAAACCGGTCGGCAAGCACGATCAGCTGTGCGGCGGCCGGGCTCCGCGGAGACAATAGGTGACGTCACGCAGCGAACCCGATCGACGCGTGCCGTGGACGAGCCGAGCGGAGCACTGGAATTGAGATAGTTTGGAATAAACAACTGTTGCGGAATGATTTAAATGCGGAATGCTTGCAGAACGTATGATTAAAAGGAAAGTTTAATTAATTTTAATGGAGTGCAAAATAGTGCGTGATATAGGTGTGAAAGGTTGAATTTATTTAAGTTTTAGATCAAAAGTGCTTAAAAAGTGGGAAATACTCAGCAAATAAATGATTAATAACCTTTTGAATTGAAAATAAGCACAGTGAAGTTAAAGTTATCGAATGGAATTTGAAATATTTGCAACAGTGAGAAGGTAGGTAGGTAGGTAAAATAATTTGTCGAAATAATAGGTTAGGCAGTGAAATAGTGCAAATAAATAGTGCAAAATCGAAACAAATTGGAAATTAATTTAGAATACCTAGGCCTTTTTAGAGTTAACTCAATGTAGCACAAGTCAAAGAGGAATTTTGAACTAGGAAAGAAAAGGAACGGGCTCACGTTTAAGAATGGTAGGCAATGCTGGGTCGAAGAAATGCGTAGTCTCGACTGCTGGATGCTGCTGGGGCTTGTGAGCTGGCTCCTCGGAGTAGGCCGATGTAGGCGGAGGTGGCTTGGGCTTTCAATAGCCAAGCTGGCACGTAGGCGGTCTGCGGCGCGGCTATGGGCTGCTTTGCTGAGCTTCGTAGTCGCTGCAGATTGCGGTTTTGATTCCTCCAGTCGGCAAATAGTGAACCTGCGAACTTCGGGATCCGATTAGAGTTGCAAGGTCCTGTCACGGTCGCCACTTTTGTTTAATAGAAAAATGCTAGTTCAGCTTGTGAATACATTTATTGGAGTGAATAGACATATTTGACAAATACAAGTTTTAAAACTTAACGGTAGGGGTAGCAGCGCGTCCATTGGCTGCTTAGAAATCACGCGATCGCAGCCTCTTCTGATTGGCTGTTGCGGAGATCACGTCACAAGAACGGTAGCCATCAATTCTGTGGTACGATGCGGATAACGCGAGACAGTAGGGTGACAATGGGTTTGGTCGGCTCGAACACCGGCGGAACGGACATAATACGAAGCACATTTGTATTCAAACTATTATGTTCGTATATGATGGGGTTACCCTCTGATGATACTAACATAATGAAATTGATGCCTGTAAGACTATGAAATGCATGTTCGAATCTTGTGTGCTGTAGTGCGTCTCGTATATGGTCGGGGCTATTCTCCGCCGGAACGGGCATAATACGGAGCACATTGTATTCAAATTATTATGTTCGTATATGATGGGGGCTACCCTCTGATAATATGAACTTAATAAAATTTTATTATACAGACCGATTAAGTGTTGGTTTATTTGCGTTAAGGACTAGTTAAGTGTGCAAGTGAAGCCTAGCCATGTAGGTGTGCTAGTGAACCCTAGCCATGTAGGTGTGCTAGTGAAGCCGAGCCATGTAGGTGTGCTCGTGAAGCCTAGCCATTAGGGTGGAGCGTCAATGTATGGCTAAAAAAAAAAGTTGCGCAAATGAATTTGAATACCTGCCAAAAGTTGCATTAGAGCAATATAATATCAAGTATATTTTTATTTTATTTTTAAAATGTATTTTTTAGCCCTCTACCGCCGTTTGAAATTATTGTTTTTTTTTTTTTTTTTTTTCGCAACTTTTTAAAATCTGTCTACTATTAAATACAATAATGAAAAATGATTTATTTTACAGGTTTTGTGTAAATAAAAGATCAATTTTATGAATACAATAGTTTTATTCGAAAAATCGCGGTTGGGAAAAAAATAAAAAATTAAGGAAAACTTCGAAAACTGTGAATTTTACAATATTTTTTCCTGAACATTGAAATTCTTTTTAGTATCGAACGATGGCATTATTGCTCGAGATTGTATTTTACCTCGAATAAATCCATCTCTTGCCTTCTCACCAGACACAGCCATCGATGCCTCAGTCACCATTTTAACACATCGTTCAACTGCTTGAGTATGACAGGGAAAATCCGGAAACGCTGTGATAGTATGTGACGCTTGAAGTAATTCTTCCAACTCTTTGTCACTGATTTTATATAACATGGGAGGGGGTGTGACTTGCGACTCACCCCATATAATCATATCAGTATAGTCGTTAGCATTAAAGTTCAACTTGGGAGTTTTGAATATGCGAACACCAGGTACTAGATTTTTTCTTGCTGCGATTATTCGTCGCAAACCCAATTCTCTGATATAATTTTTTTCATCATACAGCATAGCTAATAAAAGATTTTCAGGGTGTGCAAAAAACGCGTTTCTTTGAATTACTGGATCAATAATTTTCTTCACGTCAGAACTCAAACATCTTGATAATGTAATTAATTTAAAAACATGCATTGGGCCTTGCTTGAACGAACTATCTTTTTTTATACTAAACCATACAGGAGCATAAACTTTTACTATTATATTCCGTGAGTTTAATAAGGTTCAGAGAAGGATTGGATTTCGCTACATAATTATAGTCTTAATATTCTGTTAGCTGTTGTCAACCATCGTGAGTGAGCCATTTTTCCAGGATTCCTGCGTAACAAATTTTGAGAACAAGTACCACTACTTACAGCGTGACAGATTTGATAAAAATATTTTTGATCAGTGCTTAAGTTGTCTTCTGTTTCCTTTAGTAAAACTGGCAAATTTATGGAAGGTATCGCTGAAAACTCCACGACAGGAAGGCTGGTGCAGTTTTCTAATGCTTTTCCAATTGGTCCTGAGTAAAGTTGGGGTCCACTTGTTGCTCCATCCAATGCAGTGAACAAATAACGTAGAGGAAGCTCATTAGCATGTAATTGACATATGAACCATTGCATTGGTCTGCCTAACTTTAATTCTATAAAACGTATTGCTCCGTTTTTCCATCCAGTATTTGTTACAGTACCATCGCATCCAATAACTACCAAATCACTTAAGTCTAGTTCCTTCTGAATCAAAAATGAACAAATTGAATGAGCTATGACCTTTCCCGTTCCAGATGGTACTGTTATATGTCCCAAATAAACTGATCCTGGCTCAGTGATTAAAGAAATATGTTCTTTTGAAACGACATTTTTATAGAAACGATTGTCTCGCTTTTGGTAAATCAAGGTCTTGTCTTTTCTACCATCGAAATAAATGCTCTCAATTTCTGGACATTTTTGACTTTGAAGTTCTTGGCGTATTCGTTTCCTGGCTCTTCGAACTGGATGCTCCAATGAGGATCAGTACTGTTGTAGAAAATTCAATAAAACTAGTNTGGGTTGCACCATCTTACTTTAACTTTGACAAACTTCAAAAATCTGTCAAACTCACAGATATGGATAGATCACAGATATGGATTAGAGTAGATGCAGCAAGTTGCTCGTCAAAGCGTGCCATTCCGATATGTCCAAATGGACATACATGGTCGAGTGATGTTCATGTAATCCGATTACAACAATCGGTTACGATAATTTTACGAGAACAGTAGTACGAACACGGTAGAAAGAAGAAATTATTTACGGATTGAGAATTGTAATTAACAGCACAAGTTACAAATAAATCAGGAAGTTAGGTCAGTGATCGTAGTATAAGTCTATGTATACGACGGCACTGCATTTTGTCGTTTAGAAATATCTTCAAAACTAGGTACCTACTATGAAAGAAAACGTATTCGCAAAACTACGCATTTTTACATTTATTAAATATAAAAAGCTTGAGTTAGTCTTTATTTTATGAAACTAGGTCAGGTACTAGAATATTTAAAAGTATGAAATTAGGTAAGTAGGTATGAATTACTAGTAGTACTATTTAACATAATGGAATAACGATCATTACTTTCTTAACACTAGAGTGCTCGCGCGGGTGACATATGTCACCCAGGGTGTAAAATTTGTAAATATTTTTTCAAGGTATCGAGCTACAGTGCTGCCTTCTTAGGTATTCCTCGAGCATGTATTGTCGCACATGATAGTAGTAACGCCATCTTGCTAGACGCATCAATGTGAGTGCAGAAAACATTTAAAGTGTTTGGGTGACGCATGTCCCCCGCGCGAGCACTCGAGGAATTGTTTGAAATCTTATCATCGCGGTTTAAAATCAAGTTTACTTTCATGTAAGTTCAAAGTTATACTTTTTAACCATTTTTTAAACTTTTACAATAATTATATTGCTTATAAGCATAAACTGTTGCAAGAAAGTAGTTGTTTTAGACTGTAAGTAATGTAGTAATAATATACCTAGGTCTATAAAATTAAAAACCAGGATTCGTCTGGGGTTGCGAGAACACCGACTAGCACAAAACTTGCCAGTACTGTGGCAAAGGACGATGTGTTTATCGCCCAAGAGCAAGAAATCGAAGCACTCGTAAGCAAATGTAACAAGTGGAATAGGCGTTTTTGTCCAGATCATCAAATCAAATCGTGCCCGAGTTGTGATCAAAAAATCACAGAATAAGATCAATCTATTGATTAACTTTCTAATTAGGTGATATTTTTGCCAAAATAATGGGTCCAAGGACTATTTAAACGACTTTGGTCTCGTGGACTCTAAAATATTTGGAAAATATTGAAGTATTTATTTTGGTGTATAATATGAGTTCATGAAAGAATTACTCATTTTTTTTAAATTATTTAGTAAGAAATATTGTTTATGTTTAATATTATAAATTGTTTTACTTGTATTAATTAAAATTAGAAAAAATAAACCCATATCATAATGGGTGACATATGTGACCCGCGCGAGCACTCTAGGAGTATTTAGGGGCGCGAGCACTCTAGTGTTAANTATCTACTCTAATCCATATCTGTGGTCAAACTCCATACAAAAAACGCCGGTTAACGTTATAATTACGGACAAAGTTAGATGGTACAACTCAGTCTTAGTGTAACACCGGCTTTACAATTGCTATTATTAAAACATTATTGTGCTTTGACTTTGATACAATACAAGCTTATTATTTATTGAATAAATAAAATAGTAGTCAATATGTTTACAAAGTAACAGCCAGTAATATTGAATGAAGCTCACAATAATAGGATATGAACACTTAGTATTGCTTAGTATTATATCTGTCCCTAATTAGTTGACCACGACTGTATGTGGTATCATTTTGAAGTTTATAATTAACCTTTAAAATGGTACCATTTTTATTTGTCTTCTATTAGTCATTTAGTTTTTGAGATCGCTTGAAACGAATAGGGTGATTCCATATTTTTGCTCGCGAGTGTATAACGCGATTATCACACTGCACCGCGCTCCGCCGCGGTCCGCGTGGCTACATATCTATAAAGAATCCCGCGCACAGACGCGTTGTCAGTGTGTTGTGCCGCGCGTGTTTTCTATACAAACTGAGGAACTTGCATACAATGATTAAATCTGTCGTCCCGCGTACCGCGGCGGAGCGCGGTGCAGTGTGATAATCACCTAATAATGATGTTGTCTTTATTCTAGATAAGCACCTGCTTCGCCGATCCCAAGCCCGGTTGTGACGACGGCTGCGACAACGATGGCAGTAACAACGGAGGTAATAACGGAGGTAACAACGGAGGGAACAACGGAGGGGATTGCGGTAACGGTAGCGGAGGGAGCGGAGGTAGCGGTGGTAGCGGTGGTAGCGGCGGTAGCGGTGGTAGCGGTAGCAGTCCCGGGGGCGCGACCGGCGGGACCTCGGGACTTTTGCCGGGATTGGAAGTAGTTTTGAAGAACTTGCTCGGTTGATGTTCTTAGTTTACGATAAACATTGTTTTTGAAATAATAAACATGTTGAAAGTATGTTTTTGTATTACTGTTATTTTTCCTTTCTTCTCAAAGAAAATATTCCTTTTTTTAAGAAATCTGCATTCAAAATTTAGGCTTTGACATTTATACGAAATGAAAAAAAAATAGAAATTCACTTCAATTGAACTAGTTAGGGTTCCGTAGCCAAATGGCAAAAAACGGAACCCTTATAGATTCGTCATGTCTGTCTGTCCGTCCGTATGTCACAGCTATTTTTTCCCGAAACTGTAGGAGCTATACTGTTGAAACTTGGTAAGTAGATGTACCTATTCTGTGAACCGCATTAAGATTTTGATGCAAAAATAAAAAAAATATAATAAATATTGGCTCCCCATACTTAGAACTGAAACTCAAAAAAATTTTTTTCATCAAACACATGCGTGTGGGGTATCTATGGATAGGTCTTCAAAAATGATATCGAGGTTTCTATAACATTTTTTTTCTAAACCGAATAGTTTGCGTGTCAGACGCTTCCAAAGTGGAAAAAAGTTGGTCCCCCCCCTCTAACTTCTAAAATAAGAAAATGAAAAATCTAAAAACAACATAATATGATGTACAGTCGCGGAATGAAAAGGTTCGTCACCTTAGTGTCGGTTTTCGCTTGCACTAGGTACTGTAAGAGTCAAACCTGCCAACATAACAGTGCAAGAAACAGTGCTGCTAACATTTAAATAAATATGACGTTTGCTAACGAATAAGGTTTTGCTTGTTTATTTTTCTATCCCATCAGTGCAATGCAATGATGACATTGACCAATTGACAATAGTTTTTTTATTAATTAGGAATAATAATGGCAGGTTGAACCAACAAGAAGGTTTTACTTTATCAATCATAATAATCTTCTTGACAAGATAAATCGTCAAACAACTTTTATCTGAATAATTTTGAACTTTACTAACGAACAGTTAAAGATTACTTTCTCTAACTCGAGATTATTCTGTAACATAGTTTCAAAAGGTAATAAGTGCTCGCGATTCGTTGAAGGAATCAATTTGAAAACTGACGAACCTTTTCATTCCGTGACTGTACATTACTATAAAAACTACCAACGAAAATTGTTATGAACGAGATCTAGTAAGTAGTTTTTTTTAATACCTCGTAAATCGTAAACCGCTTATTACCGCGTAATCTTTCATACTAATAATTTAAATAAAAATAATAATTTTAATTTTATAAATCAATGGTACGCGCACCGAGGGTTTTTTTCTTCAAATTAATTACTTATCGAATGCTATACCTAGGTCATAATACTTTTAATATTAGTCACCTGTTAGTTTTTAAATGGATTATTTCTCGTAAATATTTTATTTTTAATTATGTGGATGAGCGTAATTATAAGTTAAATCATAGTTAAGGGGGCAAAAGGGGAGCAAAGAACAAGTGGACTGTATCTAAATTATTTTGCGGGGTTTTCAATAAAGCGGAGTCTACAAAGAAGTGATGGCGAAAATGGCGGTCGGTACACCTCGTGCAAAATGCTGGAAGTGCCGGGCTGGGCGGGAGAAACAACAATAGGAAACAGCCCGGTGGAAGAAGGAGAGGATTGCACGTACCTTGAGTTCCTGGTTGTCGTAGATGGAGTCGCAAGGGCTTCTTTCCGGTGCCTCGTGGTACCACGCGGTCGAGCAAATGGGCGGCCAGGATAATCCCTCTTCCAAGACGAAAAGACGCACTTTACGTAGCACTTTTAGCAAGTTACACGTTCACAGACACATAGGTTCAAGGTATACCGATTACAAAGTCTAATTAGCGGGAGAAACAATTAAATCAGAGGAGCGGTCACGCGGTCATCACTTCCCGGCGGTGCGTGCGATGAAACTCGAAAAAACCAACAGTAGCGACCTCTCGTGGATGACGCAAATATACTCGTACTCTTCTAGTAATACGTGCGGGATAAGGATGGGAGTAGGAGATGCATTTTGCACGCGGATAACAAACCAACTCTTTAATTTATGGCGCAACCATTATGTTAATTTCAAATGGAAAAAATAAAAAGCAAGAAGTAGATATACACGTTTATTGATACAAACTAAAGTACTATGTTTAAAATTCTGTAGAAAATTGAAAAACCACTAACTTCAATACATGATTCTAAATGTTTCACGCTAAATGATACATTATTCTGATGGACCGAGAGTCGTCATTTAACTGTACCTACGGAGCAAGTTATAAAACAGATTCGTATCAAATATTTCGTGACACCCAAAGTGGCCAAAAATGTTTAGTCCGTAAATTTTAATATCAAAAAATATTGGACACGTATATTTTTAATTGTAAATCAAACACATAATTACAAAGCTATGGAGCATTGAAGTTCCGCGCGACGTCACGAAGTGCTGCAATTTTAAGCACTCATTGACGTCACCGGCCTCTTCTTCTGAACTTTGGCGCGCTGTATCTCTTTAAATTTTCATTAGTTTGAAAAAGTGAAAAATAGGTGTCGAGTATTTTTTGATAAGTTAACTGACGGACTAATTAAAACTCTTTCTTTTTTACCCAGGAAACATTTTGCGAACTTTTTGGCTACTTTGGGTGTCACGAATTATTTGACGCTCACTGTACAAAACTTGATTCAATGTTAGTCATAGATTCTATGCTTCAAATTGAATCAAGTTTTGAGTTTCGTTCGAACTTCAATAATGCCATAATAAAGTGATGATCTTGCCAACTTTAACATAATATCGATATCTCTTATGAAGAAGAAACAATATTTTATGTATTTCCGATTTTTTTCCCAAATTCTCCTACCTTTCTTGAACTTTAATAAATCTTTATTTATGATATATTATTTATTATAATTTATAAGCCATGTTCGATCCAAAAGAGGGTGACATCGATACTTAGATACAACATATTTTTGTTTAGAAACAACATCAAATTTAAAAAAATCACTAGTTCATAGACAGTAATATTATAATAGATGATCGATCAATTAATATAGAAATGATTATTTTAAAGTTCTCGATTTTGGTTCCATACAAAGTTGTATTTGAGTATCAAAATCACCTCGTTTCAGCACGTACGAGGTTTTTTAGACCCCGTAGACAGATTTCAGATATTTTAATAGCACGTAAAGTTAAATGACTTCTCTAAATCCCGCTATAGTATTACGATATTGATGAATCTTAGTTAAAACGTTACTCTTAATGTTAACTTTAGCATCGTGTAAATTTGTATACAAAATGAGTTACTCATATAAGTACGGTTACCTACCGAAAAATGACAAACTCCACAAACGAAATTGAACTTTTACTTGTTTTATGCAAGGTTCAAAATTGAAGAATATTTTAACCATTTTTCAGTAGGTCAATGTGTTGTATAATAAAATATAAAAAGTGACATGATTTATTGACATGTTTTTAAACAGTTCAAAGAAATAAGTACAAATTAATTCACAAAATGTTTTGTTTTACTAATAACTATTGTGAATTATATTATTTAATATGGGATGTTTCTAAAGCCCGGTCTGCGAGCACGTAGAATTTTGTCCAATGACCCCAAGCTACCCATCCTTATCGCTCGCGCGTAATTATATTGCTGTCGCGACTGTGCCACGGGCGCCCGCAGTGAGTGTGCGAGCGCTACATCAACATAATTACGCGCGAGCGATAAGGATGGGTAGCTTGGGGTCATTGGACAAAATTCTACGTGCTCGCAGACCAGACTATAGTTAATGCAAAATCTTTACCGTGGTGAATCTGGTCTACCACACTCAATCTTTCCATGGATGTCGTAAGAAGCGACTAAGGGACAAACATGAGAACATCAGGCCTCCCCAACCCGTCTGGCCAGCGTGGGGAGTGTATTTTATTATTAATTGGGTTTTTGGGCCTTCATTTGCGCCAGCTCGACCAGGTTTGATCTATTGTGGCAGCCCTTGTCTTTAGAGTTCACTGCTTAGTCCCGTTGAGTCTATAAATTTCCAGATTCTTTGGAGCGTGATATCTGCTATCTCATCCGGGTGCATGATGTGTCGCCCGAGATGGACACTTCTTTTGCTCATAAGCGGGCCGCATGAGCAGAGAACATGCATGGTCGTTTCTTCTTCTGTATTTTAACGGGACTATTCCCACCTCTCGTTCCCACCGCTGCAACTCCTGTGTAGCCAGGATCTACAGCTTGACCGCCACAAAAACCCAACCAATAAAGGTCAAGTTTGTCCCGGGGGAAAGTTAAACTGTCATTGAACCCGCAACGAAATTAATCAGAAGAACATAGGAGGAGTTCGAAATTAAGGTTCGACTTCCCTCCATTGCAAAGCGGATGACAGGTGACAAACAAAGGTTTAAAACCTTTAAGAAAAGATTATGCACCACGGACAATAAATTAAATTAAGGGGGCCTATCTTATGAGCAAATAGCAACTACCTGCCAATAATATTTTCACAAAATCGCTTAAAAGCACGGAAATTTTTCCTTGTGTTCTTCTTCTGTATGGCAGAATCTGCACAGAGTTTGGGAGTGGAGGCCATATCCTCCATTTGCCTCTGGTACATTAGAGACGGTCGTGCTCCTGCATTGGAGACTCATTGACCTGATGTTGATATTAAAAATTATATTCCTTTATATGTACTCTTGAAATGTTAAAGACGCCATATTTGTTAGGGGCTAAATACTGAATAGACTGAACTAACACTGAAGTGTGGCGACGGCAGAGTAGAATACATTTGTCACCAACCCCTACTCTTCCCGCGGGTGTCGTAAGAGGCGACTTAGGGACTACACATCAAACAGAGAACGGGCAGCAGCGCTCTCTGAAAAACATCAATCTTTTAAACTGCGATCTCCAACCCGCCTGCCAAGCGTGGGGATTGTGGCAAAACCCTCCACTATAGTGGAGGAGGCTCATAGTCCAGCAGTGGACTGTAAAGGGCTGTTGATGATGAAGTACTGAATAAAAGATTTGACTTTGTGAACCAGATTCACCCTTCGATTTTGCATTATTTGTCATAGCAGACATATCAACTCGGAAAGGGTTCAACACCGTATCGCGTTTTGCGAGCTGTCATCGCCTTTTGCGCGCTGTCATTCTCGAGGCGAGGTGTTTACGTTACATAAAGTGTACGTTGCAGTATGGAGTTTCATTTAAAGAATACTGACCGCCTAGAGTTAATACGGTTACGATCCTGAGTTTGTGACTGAGTTTCTTGCGCTGCTTCTCAGCACTGGCCCATTTATTGTCCCGAAGCAGTGGTAGGGTTAATACTGGGACGTGTAAAAGTGCTTTTTAAAAGCCTATTTGCAAAAATAAGTGAGTTTTATGAGTTTTTATGAGTTTTTTTTTATCCCTTTCCGGGTTGATAAATGTGCTACGGCCTTTAATAATTCAATGCGTATTATAGTGATTTTTTTCTCGCTACGTTGTGAAACAGTATAATGTATACTATAATAAGTATAAATGCGTAATACTTGTTGTAATACTATCATCTATAGCTTTGCTAGAACGTTGGTATATTGGGTTTTATTTAACCCACTAAAAAAAGTGGGCAAAGTTTTTGAGTTGTGTGTTTTTCTTCTCTTTTATTGAAGTCAATTGCGTACTTGGAACACGCTGGTTTCGCCACTAATGTCTAGTGTTTAAACATTGCATGTTTAAAAAAAATGTTTTTAATTGTCATTTTTTTTGTAGTGACAGAAGGATATTATGTGATTGTCTATGCCCGAGTGACAACTTTTGTCTGTGGAGTGTATAGATACTTTTTTGGAAAACCTTGAAGCAAAGTGCTGAATTAAAATAAAGACCCAATATGCCAACGTTGCAGCACTTAAAACTAAATTTATTGTAAAATGCTTTAAATACATAATATTCTAGTAAAATTTGGCTGTTCGTTATTGTACATTCTTCACTAACAACTCCCGAGTGGCTCTGCTCACAGTAGGTATATTAAAAAAAAAATGTTAATAAATTGTTGTCTAGACCAAAATCCTCCATTTACATCTATTAAATTAAACTTGTATGCTCTATCACATTGGTTCCCAAACTTAAGTGAGACGCGCCTCCTTTCGACCATACAAAAAATTCCGCGCCCACCTCCAGTCAAGATTATTTATTGGTCGTATCGAGCAGTCTGGAATGCATTCTCTCAGCGGTCGCAGGTTTTTAATATACTTAAGTACATAGATGGCCCGCGCCCCCCTTTAAAGGCCTTTGCGCCTCTCCTTTTCGGGGCACTTTGGGAAGCAATGCTCTATCATGTCATAATATGTCAATGTTACTTTTGATTCAGTTAAGCACTTGACCTATACAGAAGACCGTGCTTCTGCAATGAGAGCTATCGTTTTTATACTTAACAGTTGGCACCCCTGGCGATTGACAGGACCTTACTCTACAGTGGCGCCATCTTGATGAGTGCAAATGCGATAGTCCTCCTACCACTTTCGCGCTCACCAGTTGGTGCCACTGTCTTCGCTACTAGCAAGTCACAGGACCTTACTCTACAGTGGCGCTAACTGGTGAGCGCTAAAACGATAGCTCTCGTTGATATCGAAGTCAGTTAATCTATGTTTTAAATTGAATCAACTTTTGGGCTGCATTTTGCACCTTAATGACCAGAAGTGGAATTGTGTAAAGCAATCGTAATCATTTGACAGTTCATAACGTACGATCATTCTGTCAAACGCTGTGTTTAGCTGACTTTATCGTACGTTATGAACTGTCAAATGATTACGATTGCTTTACACAATTCCACCTCTGATGATTATAGTTAAAATTTTATAATATCTCTAATTGAGAATGTATATTTCGAATTGACATTGTACTGCAAAAGAAACTTTCAGAATACTTGTAAGTTAGAACAGTTATTATTTTCAAATCATTAATAATTATATTTTCACATCTATGAGCAAATCCACAATCAACCACACCATTCCCAACTTTTCTATTAACCGACTTTAAAAAGGGGTATACCGATTTCACATCATGTTTTTTTTAAATTAGGATTTTTGCTTTAAAAATGGTTTTAAGAACTACTTTATGATAAAAAATTCCGTCATATCTTCCAGTATATTTTTTAATATGACAGTCAAAACATTTGATAAAAACGGTGCACAAAATTAACCCTTTTTTAAAGTCGGCTAAACTTGATTGATACATGATAATTACGTTACAAGGTACTACTTATACAATTATATATTTTTATAACTAAAGTTATGTGTATAAAGCTATTTGTCATGTCTATATGTGACAACTACATAAGCAATGTATGTAGGTTGTAGGCGTATCATGTTATTTAATTTTTCAAATGGTTGTCGATACAAATCTATAAAAAATGCTAGAAACATGGCTAGAAACTAGAAAGAATAGCTTGTCTCAGGTGGGAAACAAACCCACGACCTTTCGTTTACCGGGAGACTGGGTAAAACCCTTGTAATTTTCAAGTGTATTGCGCTCTATGTTATTACATATTATTACATAGGTTACGATTTTAAGTATCACAAATTGACACTCACTTGATTAAATGTCAGCCATAGATTCTATTCAATGTCATAACTTAAATTAAAAAAAAAATACATTCACTTGATTCAATATCAGCTGAAATCTTTTCTATGATTCTATGACAGAAATTGAATTGAATCTATGACAAAAATTGAATTGAATCTATGACAGTAATTCAATTGAATCTATGGCTAATATTGAATTGAATCTATGACCGAAATTGATAAAAAATTTATGACATGGATTGAATTATTGAATCGAGTTTTGGGCCTATTTTGTAACACAGACTTTCAACTTTTGTAACTAGCATGTTGACATGACAAACGCTTGCAAATGTATGCTTGTAAAACTATCTAAGGCTCGCTTATTAATAAATAAAATTATTGCCTAAAATCTCAATACTCCAACCGTAAAAATAACAATAGATATTGCACAACTTTTTATTCCAATTTAATGATTTATCATCAAATAATGTTTAATATTCTTCTTCTTTTTTAAATATCAATGACTTGGGATTTGGAAAACGCGCTCACACATTATTTAGTTTGCAAAAAATTGGACATCTTATGAGCAGGCTGTCAATGTCAAGTAATGTCATCTCAGATATGACAGCTGTTGACATGTGACTACCAAAGTAACTTGAAAGGAATTCTCCGCATTAATTTTATTGTCAAACTTCTACAACTCCTCGCTGGAATGCGACTCCCGCACATATGTCGATGTGACGTCATGGCTTCAGGTGCGCAGTTAACTCGGGTTGTATTTGAAATTTTAACTACAGTACAATATCTATTATTATTTCTATAACACAAACATTCTGAACATACTGTTAAACCTCCAACTTCTGCCAAATTGACAGACCCATTTGACAGGCGTGTTAAGTGCAATAATTTAATGTCATAATATTTGAGTAACTAAATTATTATTTAAATTATCTATAGCCAATTATTAGTATTATTAAAATTTCGCTAAAATATTTGTTATATTGTCGCATTACTGTTACATATACATAAAAATATACATAAAAAAGAAACTCTGTTAGATTAAATTTAACTCAGTCCTATAGGGCCAACTATAGGTGAATTTATGCATACTGTACTTTTTATGATTTAGGTTTAAAGATTTTTATTTATTAAAGTAGTTAACCGGTTATAAAAAGAAAACTAATTTTAATTAACAGAGTCTCTAGATGTATATTTTTTGCTACAGTTCTCTAACTTCGATAATTAATTCTTTATCTAAAATGATAAAATGCGTACACAAACATTGTTATAATTTAACATAATTTAGCTGCATTGTTATAATTGCTATAATATAACATAACATAGCTGCCATTATAATTTATAAATAACTAAGCATTCGGAGGTTAGTTTAGTAAAAGATATTGTCACACAAAAAATCACAAATTAGGCAAATGAATACAAAATTGGCAATGATAAAGCCTTATATAATATATAATTATACATAATCACATGTCGGAATTTCGATATAAAATAAATATGAGCGTTTCTAATTAATAGTATTGTTTCGTAGTGCCATTTCTCCGGCAACACCTGTAAAGGAATAATTCCACAATAAAGAAAAATTCTAGTCGTTTTAACTATTTGTAAGTAACCTAGTAGTTAATAGTTTACGAAATTATCTTTTGACATTAATAAATACTAATAATATACAGCGTTACATAATTTATTTTATCGAAATGCTATTATATAAACTGTTAGCTTCGTCGAAACGTTACCATCTATTAACTTCGTCGAAGCGTCACGTAACTACCTTCGTCAAAGCGTTACATATCAATGTACATAAATAGCTTTGCTGGAGCGCTACATTATTAACTTCGTCGAACCGTTACATTCACATACCTTAAACGCTATAAGCGGATAGGTAATAAATGTATCTTTCTTCTTTCTTACTTGAGCATGCTCAGGCGAATGAGCGGCTCATTTGGAAGAGCCGCTCAAGTGGAGACGCCTGTGTCGAGTCTGAACCTGATTGCTCAGGCGTATTCACTTGCTCACTGAGCATGGTCAAAAGGCTTTAAATACTAACCCCCTTAATAATAAAACTTACACGCTCGTTGAACAGTGTTTTAAAGTGACGTTTAGTATGGAAATGTCATTTTAAAACAGTGTTCAACAACTGTGTAACTTTTTATTAGTAAGAGGGTAAATCTCTATCTACCCACGTACTTTAAACGCTCTCAGCCGGCTCTCTCTACATATCAATGTACACAACCAATAGCTTTGCTGGAGCGCTACATTATTGACTTCGTCGAACAGTTACATTCACGTACCTTAAACGCTCTCAACGCGGGAAGAACCTATATGCGAGCAGCGCAGGATCCGTTCATTGTGGAAAACCTTGGGGGAGGCCTTTGTCCAGCAGTGGACGTCATTTGGCTGAAACGACGAACTACCCACGTACCTTAAACGCTCTCAGCTGGGCTCTGGAACTCAGCCAGCGCGTGTATAGGACTCGGCTGCTTCTTCTGGCTCCCGCGGCGGACTTTAGCCCGCACTTCTTCAGGTTTCTCCGGCCGGATGAGCGGCTTCTTCTCAGGCGCTTTCATGCGCCACACCACTATGGGAGACTGGGGAAAGTTGAAGCGTTACATTGTGGTATGTTTGTATATTTTTTTACGAAACTAAATTTTTAATGACTTGAAAAAAAATGGAATTGCCTAAGGTAGAAACCCAACCCACGACTCTAAGGTTTACCCAATATCTAAGACCCAGTTTTTTGATTCGTACTTAAAATAACCAACAGTCAAATTTGACAGATGTCAAATGACAAGTGATTAAATATCAGAAAAAAACAACAATGGTTCGCTTGACTTTTGGTACATGTTTTAACTATTTGTTTACATTTTGTTAATATTTAACCATTAGTAGCAAAATTTAACAATTCGTTATTTTAACTAGGAATCAAAAAACTGGGCCTAAGTAGCTCAGTGAGTTTACGTCAAACGCATTCGATGTCTACTGCGTAAAAAATGACATTAAATGTATGACGGATTGTACAGCGCCCCTAGAGGAAACTTTCAAGAACTAAAATCTTCATATAAAGAGAATTATAAAGAGCTGTGGTTTTCTGAATAAAAAAAAATAAAAATAAAATATATTTTTTGAACTCTCTCGCTAGTGACGTTTGATGTAAACTCACGCTAAGCCCTCAGATGGTTGGAGCAGTCTCGCGGCAAGCGAAGGTTCGATTCCCACCGTAAGCAATTCAATTTTTACAAATTATTGAAAATGTTGCTTTAATAAAACGAAACAACGATGTTGATGCATTACAGAAACCTGTTCATTTGTATTTTGTGATTATGATAAACTACAAAGACGTAAAAGGTTTTCAATCGTGTTTTTTCATAAAAGTGACTACTTAAAACGATAAGTGATAATAACCCAACGATGTGTTTATTACAAAAAATAATAGTTATTAGTCTATCCAGTCAATATTATGCTTGAAATTTCTACGAACTAAAAATATACGCATCGAAGTGTGGAATTCATGTCATGTAAATAATATACTATACATAAAACTTAGATTTATGGAAACATGTATTTTTATAGTAATGTAATGTAGAAATAATGTAGAATACAGGGTGGAAACGATAAGTGATCTCACCCGATTATTTCTAAACTATACAAGATATCGAGAGGTGTAATATTATCAAGAGGTGAGAGCCATGACTGTGGCTGTGATGTGGTAGTACGAAAATGTATGGAAGCTTGAAACATTGAATTTTCGGACAGATCCTGTTTATTTTGTAGCCTATAATTAGTACCGTTAGAGAGCTCGTGAAGCACTATCAGGATCAGTAAATAGTTTTTCAATATCTTGTATAGTTTAGAAATAAACGAGTGAGACCACTTATCGTTTCCACCCTGTATGTTTAGTTGAGTTGGTTTACCCTAAATGAATAAAATGAACATCAAAACAGAAAAAAGATTGTCGTTCTTAAATTCTTGATCACTGTGCATAGTATCTACGTGTAATGCTTCGCAGCTAGTGTAAAAGCCATGCATGATACATTTAATACAAAAGTGATAACAATCTACCACTTACATAGTTCTGCTCCCGCGCGCATAGAAGCCAATCAAAATTGTATTATAATATGATTATAATCACAACTTAATGCCAATATAAGCTAAATAATAATCCAAACTCTATTTTATGCCACATAGTTAAATTTTCCTTTATTTTAAAGTTTAAAATTTTGTTAAGTGTCATAATTTTAATTTATGATTTCGAAGATGCAATCTGTAATTCATAAAGATAAAAGCCTTTCTTAAGGGAGGCACACATTAGAGCGTTAACTTAATGTAACATTTTCGTGTAATTGTAACGAACGCTGTAATTTTTCTTGGACAGAAAACTGTAATTTTTTTAAATAACAATTTGCTGAATTTCTTTTGCTTAGCTATTAGCAAAGCCTTGCCGAAGCTCTTTTTAAGCGTAAATATAATTTCTACGACTTAAGCCATTCAAAAATCAATTCATCATTTAGGATTCAATATTATTATTCATTCAATAATCAAGAGGCATTTACGTATTTAAAGCTTCACAGACCTGACGTCGAAATTGCTCACACCCGAATGACTCATCGTTAATTTTAATTAGCTAATGACAGGCCACTCTTCCCAAGGAGCGCCGGAGCACGATCTCTTTGTATCTAGCCGCTGCCAGCTGACCTTTATGCGCAAATTGTCAAATTCGCAAATTGTCAAATTCGCAAATTGCCAAATTCGCAAAATGTCAAATGCGAATCAAATAATTTTGCGAATTTGACGATTTGCAAATTTGGCAGATCGCGACCGCTTGACAATTTGAATTTGACAATTTGTGCATAAAGGTCAGCCACGGTAATAGTATCTATACAGTATTCTAACTCGGCCTTATTTTTGAAATAAATGTCAACAGCCGCGCGGAATGTCACGGTTATGACAACATGCGATAGGGCTACCCACCTACAGCCTATATAGAAATTGTATCTAGTTTTGTGAATGTATTTTGTGACTGTATTTTTTTTTATTTTGACCAACAAAATACTTTGTGAATGAAATAGGATAAAAATGCATATTGTTTTGTGATTAGTAGATTTAATTAATGATTGAATGATGATATGACTGACTTCACCATACCATTTGATGTTAACATGGGCTAGTGTCGGCTTATAAATCATTTTACCTAACACCCTGTATAAATAGAAACTTCTAATTATTTTTATTTAAAAAAGAGAGACTTACTGATTAAAAACAACACATCATCATCATCATCCGTTTATTACTGTTGGAACATTTGCGACACCCCCGACTTTTGCATGTCGAGCGCATACCGAGATTTGAATTTCGAAGGTAAGCTCGCGTTTCGTCCGTTTATATGAAGTTACAATACTGTATGATAGTATTACCGTGGGTCAGCTGACCCGGTCGCCATCGAACAGGGGGGGCGTTCTAACTACGTTTTCCGAGACGTATAACCTTTTCATTGTATCATGTAACGTTTTCGTATAATGTAACGTCGCAACGAACGATGTAATTTTTCTTGGATGGACAGACGTCCTCAACATGAAAGATGGCAGTGGCTGGATGAAATAAGCGGTAGATGTACTCGTCACAATCATTAAACGGAAAGTTAATCCTTTTATGAAATTATCAATTTCTCTGCCCAGTTTTTTTTAACTTTACTTTCCATAAGAACATTTCACAAAAGTATGGTCCTTCTCATGTTATAGCGTGACCAAGAGAAATAGTTTCTTTATAAAAGTATTTAAAAAAAACCGACATGCGCGCTTTAAAAACTTCATGGCATAGATCATAGTGGCCAATACCGCGGGCAAAGCTAGTATATAAAAAGCACTTACAGCAATGGTTCCCTGGCGGGTGTACTTGGTGGAGGCCACGTAGGAGGCTTTGACGGTCAGGACGACCGCGTTCATCAGGTTCTTGGCCGCTTGGATGAGAGACGTGGCACTGTCCAGCTGAAATATAACAATATTTATTTATTATTAGGATTTATGGCTGCTTTCCACGGAGACATTCCGATTATTGCAGGATCCCGTTTAGCAGTTATGTATAAGTAAGGCGGGTTTTAGAATCGCGCTGACCGCTCGCTGATCGTCGGCGCTGACAGATCAATATGTATGTAATTGAAGGGAACGTTCCTGAGTGACGCTGATCGCTCGGCGCCGACGCTTCATACATTTCTGCTGTCAGTGCTGACGGTCAGCGTGCGTCAGCGTGACTTTAAAACCAGCCTATGTGTTTTAATAGTAACATTCACGCGAACAGTGTCCCGCAAAAAAACGATTCGATTGAATTTGGACTTATACACACTTGTGTAATGATTTTAGAATTTATATTGTATTTTATACGATTATTGGTTACTTTTAAATAGTTATTGTAACAATTTTAGTATTTGTATTGTATTTTAGAAGAACCCAAAAACTCATTATTAAAATTAAAATACTTTATTTGATTACTTCCTGGGCATTTTGCAGACATTAGAATGATTTTAGAATTTATTTTGTGTTACATCCAAATATTTCATATTTATTATTTTAGATTTTTATTGTATACATTTTAGTATTTTAAATAATTCAAAAACAGCTTATTATGAAATAAGTATTGAATTTGACTAGTTCCGGGGCATGCCGTCGATAAGTCGTTTTGAACCGGTCGACTTTCACTGATGGAAGGGGAAGTTACCTTATCGCTGGCATGCCGCTGGACAGTCAGTTCGATTTGAGCGTTCAAAGCAAGAGGTACTATTAAGATGACGTCATAATGTCGGAATTGTGTAAATCAGTGATGTTGAATACAAGTTAGAACAACCTACAAGAGTGTTTCATTTCACTTGTGTTCACATAACAGTCCAGTCTTTGCGGAATCCTGCAAAACTGAACTGCCGTGGAAATGGGCCCTTTTATATGTTTTTTATAATTAAGAATTTCATTTTGAAGACATACACCAGATTACATTCACCTATACTTATAATAAATCTGTAGAGTCTGTCAATTCTGTACATGAAATATATTTTCAAAATAACTATCAGGGGGTGATTAGTGATCGATACTGATGCCGTCGCGTGTGCAGCCTTAATGGTTAAATTTGGAAGGGACGTAGCTTACGTACCGTAGAAGTGCACTAAGAAAGGAATTCCCGAAATTCCCATGGGAACGGGAATTAACGGGAAAATCCTTTTGTATGAAAAATCTAAACCGCTTAAGTTAGACGCTTGAAATTTGGCATGCAGGTACCTTAGTAAACTTAAAGCTTAGTTACAACAGGATATTGCAAAATTCCCACGGGAATGGGAGTTAGCGGGAAAAAACCTTTGTATGAAAAAATCTAAACCGCGTAAGATAGATGAAGGGGGTAAAACGGGATCCACGCGTACGAAGTCGCGGGCGGCCGCTAGTCACTAAATAAACAAACATCACCACAGCATTGAACGTCACTGATGCTTAAAGTAACCACCACCGATTTTATTACAAGGCCCACATTCTTAAATAAAAAAACATTCAAATATGAATTTACTCGGTAGAACTTTAATTTTGACGTTTGAAATTCACAATCACAAAAAAAACACACGAAACTCGATTCAATTGCAGTCATAGATTCTGTCCTATGATGTGACGCCACTATGCAATTGAATCCAGATATGAGCATCGTTCTGTAAGGCGCACCCTAGTACTTTCATAATGATTACTGTACTTATAGTTTTTAGTAAGTGAATGTGAAAAATTCAAATTTTTAGAAGATAAATAGGGTAAACTGCCAGTCATTGGACACTTAAAAAAGTTATTGGACAGTTATTTACTGAATGAAAAATAGCATTTCTATTTCAACAACTGAGATATTCCGACTGATGGAGATAAAAAGGCGTTTTTTTTTAAAGGAATGTTCATTGTATTTGAAGGAATATTCATTTTAAGAAAATTCAAGGGTTGTTTTGTCCAATGACTGGCAGCGTCCAATGACTGTCGGTTTACCCTACACACAAATGAAAAAAAATCAACCGAAAATGGATTAGATAGCGTCAGATAACTATCGGAAACCCTTTTTAAGATCTGAGACACATTGAATTTTGGTGAAATCGACAAAAAAAAGGACATACACAAGCCCACACCCTTCCCCCACTTAACCCAGTTATTGTGTTACTCTTACCCCACTAATCACGATGCCTGTACTTTGATTGTCCTCGTCTTTCCCTGCCTGATAGAAATGTTAATAGTCTACAGTTAATAGTGTTATACAGTGTGCAGCAATGTTATACAGTATGTAGCAATGTTATACGGTGTGTAAAGCCTGGTCTGTGAGCACGTAGAATTTTGTCCAATGATCCCAAGCTACCCATCCTTATCGCTCGCGCGTTATTATGTTGCTGTCGCGCTCGCACACTCACTGCGGCCACCCGTTGCACAGTCGCGACAGCAATATAATTACGCGCGAGCGATAAGGATGGGTAGCTTGGGATCATTGGACAAAATTCTACGTGCTCACAGACCAGGCTTTAGCAGTGTTATACAGTTTAGAAAAAAATTTTGGAGTTAAATACTGGTGTTATACACATTGTAGCAGTGTTACGCAGGTTATAGAAATGCTACGAGTATATACAGGATGGAATTTTGTAATGCCACCTGGAGGGAAAGTAAGTACCCTTAATACTGTAGATAGAAAATTTTACTCAAAGAAAACATTCCTTTATTTTTTAATAGAAAGAGAACTGCATTCAAAGATTTTCAAAAATAAAGGAATGTTTTCTTTGAGAAAAAAAATCTATCTACAATATTAAGAGTACTTTTCCTCCAGGTGGTATTACAAAATTCCATCCTGTATTATACAGTTTAAAAAAGGTATTTAGGTTAATAATAATGTTAAATGTTATACAGTGTGTAGCAGTGTTATACAGGTTATATTAATGTTATTATATTAATTAGTATCATCACCAGGCCATACAGTTTCTACCGCAGGAGTACAATCCTCTCTAAGTGTGGATTGGAACGTACGGAGTGAGGCTGATGATGTATTCCGCGGTGTAGTGGTGAGACCACTTGCTTCAGATACTTCAGATTAGGGATGTTATGGATATTATGTTTATGGATACGGTTACGGATATAGGAATAATATTATACTGGTTTCGGTTACGGTTACGGATATCTGTGCTTTAGAATGCAATTTGCAATAGTTGTCCAACACGTTCATTCATGGCCGCACACTTCTTACATCGAATAAAAAGTAATTAAAAATAAAAATTGATACTAGATGGTATTATAAAGATAAATCAGGCTGTTATGCCTTTACGTATAAAGCTATACAAAAAAACAATTTAAACTGCCTACATCCGAAACTATCCGAAACTTTTGAATCGTTTACGGTTTCGGATATTTTTTATTTCAGATATCCGAAAGTTTCGGTTACGCATATCCATAACATCCCTGCTTCAGATGATGATAATGATGATGACACTTACCCCTGCGCTGACATCTACCTTACGCACACGTCACCGCGCCTACAAACCTGCAACGCGGTAACAGTTCTCTGGCTAACTGAGTATATTTTAGAGAACCGAAATGGTAATAACTGGACCTTGGTCCCCGAGCACAGCACCCATCCATCTTAGCTTCCTTTTCGTGGTATCCTCAAATCCTATAATGATGATGATCTTTCTTCTTATCGTGTCGGCAACAAACCTACACAGTGTCAGCCCAAAACTCCGCTACAAGAGTGGCGTTGTCAGCAGCATTCATTAAATCCTGCGTGTAGTTTCTCGGGCACTCAGGGCACATCATGTGCTTCATCGACTGGAGAACATCTATATCTGGTGGCAGTATAGACCAGGGTTTCCCAATTTTTTTTTGCCAAGGAACCCTAATTGATTATACTTTTCCTAGCGGAACCCCCGTACTACTCGCCCGCATGCCCTGCCCCTCCCTTGTGCGTAAACAAGTCGGTGCGAGCGAACAACGTCGGTCATGAAACGTGGGATGATATTTTTTACGGAACCCTTGCGTCCTTTCCACGGAACCCCAGGGTTCCGCGGACCACCATTCGGGAACCGCTGGTATAGACTGTTGTTGATGATGATGATGATGATGACGATAGTATCACTTACCCCGCTCACGATGAGCTCGCCGGATATGTTTTGCACATCAGCCTTGACCTTGCTGGTGATTTGTATCTGATGGCAGTACAGGGCGATGCGTTGGAGGTAGGCAAGCAAGTCTTGCTTCGTTGACGATTCGGGACACTGGAGGAGAGAATAATATTGTGGGTTTATACAAGGTGTCCCAGAATGGGTGAATCAAACTGATAGGGTAGGTAGCTCTACTAATGTACTATCCCTAAAAAATATGAAATAAAATAAAGCGCATAAGGACACAAACAAAAATTTTTTTGAAAAAGTGAAAATAAATCAGCTTTGCTCAGTATCTGGCTATAATTGCTGCGTTTGGAGTTGATTTGTACTTTTTTCTTACTAATATTAATTGTACATGATGGCTTCGTTTATCTATAAACAAACTTTTGAAAATAATGACTAGATTTCGAGTTTAGAGAACTTTCGGATGACAGTAGTATTAGCAGTGTACCCACCTGTTCAGCGATTTCCCTGGTGAGCTTGTCAAGCTTGGTGCCAGCTTCGGAGATCTTTTTGGCGGCGTTGATGACGTCCATCGTGGTTTTGAGTGGACCGCGGCCTCTGTGGATAATTTAAAATCGTTTATTATGTACTACTAGCTTTTGCCCGCGGCTTCACCCGCGTGAAATTTAGTTGGTCACAGATCGTCATAAATTATAGCCTATATGTTATTCTGGGTTATAAACAATAATACTGTAAAGTTTCGTCAAAATCCGATCAGTAGTTTTTGCGTGAAAGAGTAACAAACATCCAGACATCCAAACTTTCGCATTTATAATATTAGTTATGAACTATAAGTACCTAATGCAAATGAATAATCATTTATTATTTCAACTAAAAGAGGTCCAATGATGGACAAAGGCTTTTCATAAGGATTTACACAAGGACTCCTCCGGGGCTCTAAACTAGGACCAGTAATGTAGTAAGGGGTCCCTCAAGGCTCTTTAATGGGACCAGTACATACTATAGTCACGTTTTCCCCAAGGCTCTATAATAGGAACCCAGACTGGAAACTGAGACTAAAGATTTACCTAATGCTTAGAGAGGGCTACATTGAGATTAGTATTATGAACAGGGGTTCCCCAAGGCTATTTATTGGGTCCACAGGGGCTCCCCAAGGTTCTGCACTGAGACCACAGGGGTTTCCCAAGGTTCTATATTGGGCACACAGGGTTCCCCAAGGCACTATACTGGGACCACAGGGTTTCCTCAAGGCTCAATACTGTGACCACAGGGGTTCTTCAAGGGTCTGCACTGGAACCACAAGGGGTTCATCAGGGGTCTACACTAGGACCACAGGGGTTCGTCAAGGCTCAATACTGTGATCACAGGGGTTCTTCAAGGGTCTACACTGGGACCACAGGGGTTCTTCAAGGGTCTACACTGAGCCTACAGGGGTTCCCCAAGATAGTATACTGGTACCACAGGGGTCCCCCAAGGCTCTACACTAGGACCACTACTATAGCCAGGGGTTGCCCAAGGCTCTACACTGAGTCCAAAAGGATACCTTACCTCGTAAAGTCGGTCATCTCCAGCATAATCATGCACATGTGCTTGGCCAGCATGATGATGTCGTTGCCGGCGTCGTCCCACTTGGCCACCTCGTTGTCGAACGTCATCTTCTCGCGGCGGAACAGCTCCACTTGTTGGAGGATCTTGCGTTTGTCTTCTTCTGTCATCTTACGCATGGCTTCCTGTGGGATGCGTTATAGAATTTTAGAAGCAAGTTTTTTTATTACACGACATAATACTGAGTATGTGACCTTTTTAGAACTTTCAATTTAAGATGCATATATGTGATTTATGTAACTACACTCGACATAAAAAAAAATCGCACCTGCCGCGACAAGCACTTTCAAACGTATGCATCCTCACTTCCCACCAATATTGGCACCATTTAAAAGCCTAGTTGTACACTTCATTTCATTAAAGAAATAAACTGATTTGATTTGATTTGAAAAGGATTTTACCCCAAAAATGTGTCTTTAGAAGGATCCAGAGGCACTTCTTCAAAAAATAGGTAGTTACGCTTGAGCCAACTTTTATGGCTATAAAACTGTGTTGGGATTATTCGCTATCCATCTGTTAAAGAGGGCACGTGTGATCATTTTTTGGTTTTATAACCATAAAATTTGGTCTAATTGATCCCAGAGGTGAGCCCAAAGTGAGGTCTTTTTTCAAGTCACACTTATGGCATATGTTAATCATTTATTAAGAAATTAAATGTGTTTTTCTTTAAGGATATTTATTGGGCTTTCAAATAACACCAATATTGTTGGGGCACCATGATTGTGTCAGAAGAAAATCTTTAAAATTCGCGTCGCGGAAGGTGCGGTTTATTTGATGTTGAGTATATTTAGTTCATTCTTTTCTGCAGTTGGTTTATTTTTTTTTAAACAAAGATGTTTGTTTGGTTCAGTCAGCATCAAATATTTCGTGACACAAAGTAACCAAGAAGTTTCCAACACGTCTTTGTTACATTTGGTATTAAGGTTGTGTTATCAACTTTTTGGCCATTTTGGGTGTCACAATTTATGACCCTACCAAATGACAAATTGAATTATAAAACTTTGTGATTAACGTCTGAAATAAAATCTTATACTCAACGAAATTTCATTAGCGAACAGCAACTTACCCTAGCGTTGGTGATGCCACTGATATCCGGGTACTCGTCCACGCCATGCTCGCCCGTGTGCGCCGACGCTGACACACAAAATTAACGATTAGAACTCCGCCACAAAAGGCTCGGCCAAACCAACGCGATCAGCCTGCGCGATTCCGATGGCGATCAATGCGTTTAGTGCTTCAACCACACCAATGCGTGCAGCCTTTATGCGCAAATTGTCAAGCGGTCGCAATCTGACAAATTCGCAAATGTCAAGTTTTTATAATGTCCAGCTGTTTAGGTTTAATAATAAAAGTCAAGTAATTAATTGGCAGATCTTTTAATAATTAAAATGTTAAGGTATTTTTTAATATGAAATCATAAAACCGTAATAAAAAATAACAACAAAATGTTTTTTAGTTATTTTTATACCTAACTTCAAATTGAACATCTTTGATCTTTTAACTTTGGTTTATGTTTTGTTGATTTGATATAACATGAAAATATTAGGATTTTGATTTTGTTGAACACTTGACATTTTGCGAATTTAACAATTTGCGCATAAAGGGCGTGCAGATCACCATAGCCGGCGCGATCAAAGGCCAATGACAGGTCGCGTGAACTGTCAAGGGTCGCGCGACATGTGATTGGCCTATGATCGCGTCGGCGATCTTCACGCGTTGGTGTGGTTGAAGCTTAAGTCTGATCGCCATCGTGCACGCGTTGCTTTGGCCGAACCTTTAGTCTCTGCAGACTTAGCATTTGACGATTGAAGCTTTGCCACTAACGCCCGTTTCCCATATTCAATCCTTGTCAAAATCCGGATTTCAACTGTCAAAATTTGAATCTATTTTCGGTCAAATATCCATAATTTTTGATACGGTTACACTTTTATATTGTCTCCTTTAAAACAAAATGAAAATCTAAAACCGTGTCAATTTTGACTACATATTGAAATTATTTAGATTAGGATTGAATATAGAAAACCAGCATAAGAGTCTCATGCCCGTTTTTACCATCTCAAAAATTAGGGATTAATGGTGAAAACGGGCATCAGACTACAGATTTTTGCCGGCCAATAGTTTGGGCAGCTTCTAATTTCTACAAGGAATCGGCCGATACCAAATCCGGGTAATGTGTACATTTGCATACATATTCATACTGACTAACAGCCCGACCAAACTATCGGCCGATATAAAGTCTGTATTCTGTAGACTATTGTGTTGTTCTTACTAACATGTCGACGTACCTACTACAAATTGACTCAGTTTCTGCAATGGATTTTTTGTGACTGACATTACTTCATTTCCACAATATCTTAGAATATCTTTAATACTTTTAAGTCGAGTCGATTTGTAGTACCAGAGTAAGTACAAATGAGTAGGTCATCTTCATAGAAACGCCCGAGCGCGGTTTGCACTGACAAAATTCAGCGCACCTCACCGCAGTAGCGGCGTAAGGGGGGGGCGGTGGGGGCGGTCCGCCCCGGGTGCCAAGCATCAGGGGGTGACAAAGTCGCGCAGATTAGTACTCACTGACGCATCTGCATGGCAAGGACGGTCGTGATGTCATGACAGGGGGGGTGCCTTAAGCTAAAATTATATTATGAGGGCGGTCCGCCCCGGGTGCCAAGCATCAGGGGGTGACAAAGTCGCGCAGATTAGTACTCACTGACGCATCTGCATGGCAAGGACGGTCGTGATGTCATGACAGGGGGGGTGCCTTAAGCTAAAATTATATTATGACGGGGGGGGGGCGCCCCGGGTGCCAACCTATGCTACGCCGCCACTGCCTCACCGCTAAATATCCCCGCTAAATTTTGTCAGTGTGTGCGTGCGCGCCGCATACGTGTTGGCGCGCGCTCACATACAAACCGAGCTATGTGCGTAGATACTAGGGTTTCTGATTTCTCGACCTATTTATTTTCTCGAGTTTCGAGAATTCTCGAGGCCAAAGTCTCGAGTTTTCTCGGGTCTCGAGTCTTTTAATGAAAACTGCTGAAATCGGTTGAAATTTAATAAAAAAACAGGTTTTTTTTAATCTAATATACCTACTTTTATGCACAAGAATCAATATTAGAATTTAGTACCACTTATTTTGGTAAGGAAATAAACAAAAAATAAAATCTTTCATAATTAATACTTACTAATAATCATAACAAAAGTCATAAAGTCACGTGTACTTTAAGGATAAATAACAATAAAAATCTGGAGCTACAATTGAATCACTTGTTTTCTAAAGAACACAAGTCCAAATAGCAAAAATAAATAAATACATTTTCAATTTTTTTTAGACTTTAGTCGATACTACGCTTCCACGCAATCTATGCACATGTCGTGGCAGCTTTTAACTAAGGCTACACTATAAACACGTATTGTTTTCAATGTTTTTTCCAGTTAATGGTGTGTCTTGTTAGCTGTTCTTAAATAAATAAATAAATAGTTTAGTTTCGATTGAGATCACTTTTAAATCAAATCAGTTAAACTTGATTACTTGCAAATCAAATCAGTTAAAAAAAGAAAGACTAGGCCAGTCTAAAAGCAACGTTGACCTATTAAATAATCAAAAACTTACTTTTGTCTAAGAAAATAGGCTTTCAAGAATATTAAAGCTTCAAAATCGAAACTCGAGAATTCTCTAGCTCCGGTAATTTTTTTCTCGTCTCGAATGAAGCCATATTTCTCGAGTTTTCTCGAGTTCGAGAAAGCTCGAGCAGAAACCCTAGTAGATACGCTGGCCATGCACTTAAAGAAGTAGGAAGCAGTTAGTAAAATATGAAATGAAAAATTAGTTTTAAAAAGCATGCTCTTACAGATGTAACATTGAGACGGAAAGACAAATAACAATACATATTACGTTAAAATCTATGTAGCAATAAATTAATTTCGCCTATTTCATATCTCATAAATCAACGCGAAAAGTGCATAGTAATTAACGCCTGTATTTACAAACGATGCTTGCTTAAGTGAAGCAGCAAATCGAACGCACAGCGTTGAATAGAGCTCTGTGATTGGTTCGTGTGACCCTGTGCTTCCACGCGCACTGTGAGACCTCATAGTAATGTTTGTGAATAGGCGTTAATATAATTCCGTCTCAAATTACACCTAAACACTTAAATTGGTGTTATTTTCCACAAGTGATGTGTTTAATATTAATTATGCTGAATAACGAAGAACCAGCCGCTTATTATTTAGGTATTCACACGCACCGGATCCACACAAGGATACAATGTAGTGAAAACTAGTTCATTTGCCACAAAGAGTTTTTAAGTTTTTCACACTAGCAATCTATACTAATATTATTAATGCGAAAGTAACTCTGTCTGTCTCTCTTTCACGCCAAAACCACTGAACCGATTTTGATGAAATTTGGCATAGAGATAGTTTGAGTCCCGGGAAAGGACATAGGATAGTTTTTAATTTTATCCCGGTTCTTGAAACAGGAACGCGCGTGATAAAGTTTTTCTGTGAAAGACAAAATTCCACGCGGGCGAAGCCGCTAGCGAAAAGCTAGTTTGTCATAAAGCATAAAAAATTAAAACTAAAACACTAATATTATCAAGAGGAAAGATTTCATTGTTTGTATTGAATAGACTCCAAAACTAATGGACCGATTTGAAAAATCTTTTACCATATATCCTACATTATTTCTCATGAAGATAGGTACGATGTTCGCCATGTCAGCTAGTAAAAACTAAACATGAGAAACGACAAAAATAAATAACATTGTAAAGTTTATAAACACTGCTGAAAATTAACAAAATTTGTCTTATTTTTTGCATTTTATTTCGTTTATTGGTTAACTTTGTTTAAAAAATAAAACTAACTAGAAAGATAGCTAGTGTGAAAAGACTCTCAAGTATTCTGAAACGACGCTTAAAACTCTATGAATATAGTATTAAGAGTTGTTTCAGAGTAAAAGCAAGGCAGAAGTCAAATCTAGTAAGATAAAAAAAAGCCTCAGTCAAGTCAGTCACATTGTCCAAGTCAAATCATTATCCGAAGTTAGCTTCAAATAATCCAAAGCAAAGTCCACACTATCCAGAGTGCAAATTCAACTCCAAAGCGTCCAAAGTCAATTATTAAGTGTCCAAAGCATCCAAAGACAACTCTCAAAGCGTATAAAGCATCCAGAGTCAACTCCAAAGTGTCCAAAGTCAAGTCCCAAGTGTCCAAAGTCACCTACAAAGCGTCCAAAGTCAACTCACAAGTATCTAAAGCGTCCAAAGTGAACCTTAAAGTCAATCTCCAAGCGTCCAAAGTCATCTTAATACTCAAAGTGACCTCCCAGTGCCCAAAGTCAACTTAAAAGTGTCCAAAGTCAACGCCAGTGTCAAAAACACCCAAAATCAAGTCCAAAGCGTCCAAAGTCAACTCCAAAATGACCTCCAAAGCGTTCAAAGTCAATTCCTAAGTGTCTTAAGTCAACTCCCAAGAGTCCAAAGCATCCAAAGTACACTCTGAAGTGTCCAAAGCATCCAAAGTCAACACTGAAGTGTTCAAAGTGACCTCCAAACCGTCCAAAATGAGCTCCAAAGCGTTCAAAGTCGGTAGTCGGTATCTAGTCGGTCGGTACTCACATCGGCTAAAGTCAACTCTAAAGTGTCCCAAAGTCAACTCCCAAAGTATTTAAAGTGCTCAAAGTCACATCCAAACCGTCCAAAGTCAACTCCCAAGTGTCTGAAGTGTCCAACGTCACCTCCAAAGCATCCAAAGTCAACTCCAAAGTAACAAGTGTCCAAAGTTACCTAAAAAAGTGTCTAAAGTCAATCCCCAAGCTTCCAAAGTCAATCCCAAGAGTCTAAAGTAATCTTAAGGGTCCAAAGTCACCTTTAAAGTGTCTAAATTCAATCCCTAAGCGTCTAAAGTGACCCCCAAAGCGTCCAGTCGGTACTCACAGCGGCTGCGTGTCTCCACCGTCATGTCCTCGACGGGCTCAAACTCGGTGTCGGTGTCGAGTTCGTCGCTGCTCTACACAATTATTATGACGTCACAACACACGCGGACGCGAGGGCTGTGGTGACGTCACGCGCGGCGCGGACCGAGTGCACAAGGACCAATAGTCACTCTTATAGTAGCTCAAGTAAACCATCAGTCTA